AAACAGCATCCATCCATTTTTCATACGAGCTCATGAATAAGTCTTACATCTACTGGTGTACCTGTTGGAACAAAAGGTTGAAACTTAACAGACGTGCTTACAGTGGTGGTTGTTAAAAAGTTTTGTTATTAGTATGGTGTACTTAATTTTTATAAGGAAATTTGTTAAAAACATGAAGATTCTACTGCAAATTTGTGCTTTAATGTGGTAGTGACACTTAGTTTTGTCAATACATTGAAAGAATTTCAGAAGTGCTTTTTCTTTCCTTCCCCACAGCTTCTGAATAAATTTGGCCTTGATAAGATCTATGAAGGTCAAGTTGAAGTGACTGGTGATGAATACAACGTGGAAAGCGTGGATGGAAAGCCTGGTGCTTTCACGTGCTACCTGGATGCAGGTCTTGCCAGAACTACCACTGGAAACAAAGTCTTCGGTGCTCTGAAGGGTGCAGTGGATGGTGGTCTGTCCATCCCCCATAGGTAATCTGGTCTGTTTGGAAGAATTCCTTTAGAATTAACCTGAGATGATTCTGTAGGGGACAGTCTACTTAAACTGTCGCTTTATGTTGAAATAATTCTGTTACGGACCTGGTAATGATTATGTAGCTTAGGTTCTGGGATGGGGATTTTTTTAGTTGGTTCATTGGTGGTTTTTTAATCCACAAATGCAATTTTGGTAGTGCTGCTGCAAATCTTGCAACTATCTAGAGATGCTATTAAACTTTTAGAAACTGAAGAGCCATCTTGTTGCTTTTACTTAGTCATCGAGTGATTGGATGCACTTAATCCTTTAGTATTCTGTTTTAAGTCTATCAAACTGTGTGTATGTATTAATTTCACTGAAAAACTACATACCAAGAAAAGCCATTTGCTACAACTGTCGCTACAGTACTAGGTCTGAGCAGTCCACCTGCACTTAAAATTTCCATGTGGAAGTTCTAACAATTCCTGTGGTAGGCTGCGAATGACTGGATCAAGATTTTAGGCAGTGTTACCTGACACTGATACTACAGTTGACTGCTGCTTTCTGCTAGCAGCAAGGGGGGAAAAAATTTACTCTCTATTGTGTATTTTCCTGCCCTCTCCTATGCTGTCCTATTTGTTCTTGACTAATTGTCTAGTTTTTCTGACTTGGCTGCTACATGATGATACTCCCAAAGACTGAACACTCTCTAGTTGGTCCATGGTGTGTATATGATGTAGTGCACTGTTTCAAGACGGGACTGATGGCAGCTGAGATGAACTTAAAACTTCTATCTCTTAGTTTTCTTTATCTCTTAATTTTTAATTAGAGGGTCCTATCCCTCAGTTATATGTAGAAGAATCTGTTGTATCAGTCATTTCTGTGTGGAACCGAGCCTCTGATTTGGAACATTTGGCAGCTCGTCTTAATCTGAGTATAACTGCTGTTTCACAGTACCAAACGCTTCCCTGGTTATGACTCGGAAAGCAAAGAATTCAATGCAGAGGTTCACCGCAAGCATATCATGGGCCAAAATGTGGCAGACTACATGCGTTACCTCATGGAGGAGGATGAAGATGCTTACAAAAAACAGTTCTCCCAGTACATAAAGAACAACGTAACACCTGATGGGGTAAGATTTATCTGGCCGGCTCTTGTGCATTAATAGAGATGCTGATAAGTCTTAGCATAGGGACTTCTAGTAATGCAAATAAGCTTGATATGTAAAATAATGTCATGCATGTTGTATGTTATCCATGCAAGGAATATATTCTTTCCTTCATTAAGGGCTGTGTACTATTATCATGGTATTTTGAAAGTGAGATGTCTTTTCTTGCTGTGAAGCTTAACATTCTACCTGTAAATCGAAGCTTAAAGGACTGCATTCGAAGGTGGATCACGTTATTTTCCTCCTCCCCTCCCCCGGTAGGGAGATTAATTTGAAGTTTCCACACAGGCTGCCCACTCATTCCTAATCCTGCACTGTGCAGCCTGTCATTTCTGTAGCGGCGGTGGTTGTAACTGTGAAGATGTGTTCTATATCAAGTTTCTTCTGTGATTTGTGTGACCCTACAGGTAGCTCTAGGCCCCACGTGAATATAGAACAGCCCAAGATAGCTAGAGTATAGAAGCTAGCACCTCGTGAAACTACAGAGAGTGTAATACATTCTATTGCAGTACTACTTTAGAGTTATTTTGTACAAAACACTAGAAGATATGTGAGACAACCAATGTGCTTCTTTCATTTCTTTCAAGTGTTAAACTCCTTTCAGGTGGCTTATCCTGCTGCCTGTAATATTGTTGCTTGCTTTCCCCAACTAGTGGTCCTGAAGCTTTAAACAAACATTCTTGTGTCCCCTTTCTTTAGGCTATGAAAAACGTAACTCCATTCTTTATCTCTTTATTGCTATGGAGCTTTGGGGTTTTTTTTTGTAAACTTAACTAATTGCTAATTTGTTTTAAATTAGTCTTTAAAAAAATAAGTAATGTATTCTAAATAGCAACTTGTTCTATTTACTAAACAAACAATTTTTAGAGCTTATATTGCAATTGAGTTCAGGATCTGTGTCAATAGCTGGACACTTGTTCTTTGTATATCTAGAAATTTTCTTACAGCTGGGATCGAGTGGTCTTAATTAACCACCAGGAAAAATATTAAAATTGGTGCCATTGTGGAGCTAGAGTTGTCTTTAGGACAGAGCAGCATTACTGCATCCTTAGGGATGAAGCTGGGACTGTCATGGTTCTTGCAAGATGTGTTAATCTGTAGCTGCTTTCACAACTTAGACTTCCCCCCCCCCCCCCCCCTTACTAAGCAGCTTTTTAAATGGGGACTATAGTAGGGTCTGAAAAGGGGTAAGGTTACATGTCTAACAAGAGAGTTTGTGTGGAATAATTTGGGTTTAATAAGTAAAGGTGAAGTATTTTCTTCCAGTTAGAAGTAGCATAACTTTCTAGACTGATTTTTAATATAAAACTGAGAAGTAGACTTCTGAGGAAGTAAGATTTCAACTGCCAGATGCTAGCCTGTATTTATGAAACTTGTAAGTAATCTGTGTTACTCCATGCCCTTGGTTTCCTAACTGTAAAATAAGGATAAAATTACTTGTTCTCTTTTGGTGGTTTCAATATGTAAATTGTATCATAGTGATAGTAGGAATTTCAAGTATATTGTGGCAGTGATCGTCTGTTTGAACGAAGTGTTCTAAAGGCAACCACACAAAATTATAAGATGTCTGGGGATGAAACCTGTTTCTAGTGCATGCTTTCGTAAGTGTACCTTGGATTTTTTCATATGATCCTACAACTGGACCACTACAGAGAATAAACAAAATATTTTTGGGTGTTTTTTTTTGTTTTTAAGATGGAAGAAATGTATAAAAAAGCCCATGCTGCTATACGGGATAATCCAGTCCATGAAAAGAAACCCAAGAGAGAAGTAAAGAAAAAGAGGTAAAACTTACACTCTTTAACATAAAGGTGACTTCTCTGTTGAAGGTACTTTATGCTAAAACAAGTAAGGTAATTCAGGTTGCAGTTCTGTCAAAACTCAGATGATGTTTTAGATCAGACTAAGATACAAGCATTTCAGTATGCTTTGTCAGGAGTTAATTTTAGCAGTGGGAATCTAAAATTTAAGAGCTCTCAACTACATTAAAAAAAATTAGAACTAGAACATGCTCACAGTGTGAATAGCTGGAACTTTTAAATGGGAACTTTTCGGTTGGAAAGCTGTGTCAGGTGAGGGCAGGCTCATTTGTGAAGACCAAACTGTTTTGATTTTGCAGGGGTCTGGGAGAAATCAGAGGATATCTGTGGGATTGGGTCTTGATAGTGTCTGTACTCTAGTCACAAAGAGTACCGAGCTTACCTCTTGAGGAATTCAACTGCTGTAGTCTAACTCTGCCTTGTTGTGGTGGCCTAATTACAGCCTGAAATTACTACAGAAGCGTGAATAGGTTCTAGCATAGCATCCTCAACCACAGTGCTGATGCACTGCAGCTTTCTTGACCACCTTTTTGCTTATTTCTACCTTGGATATACCATACACTGTGCTTACATTGCAGATGGAACTGTCCCAAGATGTCCCTTGCCCAGAAGAAAGATCGCGTTGCTCAGAAGAAGGCTAGCTTTCTCAGGGCCCAGGAGCGCGCAGCTGATAGTTAAGACAACTTCCACAGTTTTCTATGAAGCTTTGGAAAAAGTGGCAATAAATTTATTGATTAAGCAACTGTGTAAGACTGGCTTATTGTATCTTACAACGATGTGGAATATTTGTTATGACTGATAGATTCTGTAGCCTTTAGGGCTTTTTTGTCCCTTTCAGAAGTACTGTATGAATTGCAGTTTTGCACAGAGAAGGGACAGGGTAAACCGAGGCTGCTGCATTAGATTGATTCCCATAATCAACTTCACTATTTTTTGGCATGACTAGTATCCAAGGTGAGATCTATGAACTCTCTGCTTCTAACTACAAAAACACTTTACATTTCAGAGGGCTTTACATGTCCTTCACCACTTTTCTTTCAGCTTACTTAAGGAAGAATCTATATGTAGCCTAAGAAAAACGCAGAAGTAGTCACAATAGGTTCTATAGCTTCTGCCTAAAGACAGCCTTAAGCTTTCAGCAACATGGTAACGTTTTCCCTACAGCCTTAACTGTAGCTGCGAGAGATATGTGTTCCCCATTGAAGTGTTTAAGCTTCTTAAACTAACTGAAGTAAGCACTTTCATATACTCAGCCTCAAGCTCTGGCTGTTAGTGAAACAGGCACTGTATACTTGACGCTATTTAGTGATTAGATAAAAATAAATTCTCTTATGTTGCATATAGATACTTGCTGAGAGTCCTTGACTTGTTCCTACCCCTCATTTTCTTCTACATCATGTTCCTAGGCACTTCGATTTGTTTCCCATTAGATTTACTGAAGGTGCTTGCACAGTTAAAACGAGTCAAGTAAGCTGCATAAAAGAATGTTTTACTTTAAGATACTGTTACAGGGTGAGTACTGCTATTGAAAGAGAAAAGGACACCTGTGATTTATTGTAAACAAAAGTGTATTTTTCCGCAATGAAAGCTCCCACTTGATGCAACAGCAATAAAAATGAATGTTCTGTACAAAGTATACCATTAAACATGTTTTCCAGTTTAAAATACCCAACACTTTGGATTCAATAGTAACTGCCCAAAACCTAGTAGCAGTTACAGTTGGATTTCTTTCTACCATGAACATGACCACTTTACACTTGAGTGCATTGCTGGCTATAAATATTAGCTGATGGTTGGAGGACATTATCAAGTTAGAGACAATAATCAGCATTGGCTTAGTAATTCTTACTAAAAAGCTGATGTTTACAAAACAATACACCTTTCCCCAGGCTGCGTACAATTACAGATGGTATGGAAAAGTGACTTTAATCATTCAAAGAATGCATTTAATACAGGATACATAAAGCAATTAACAACCTTTCAAATACTTAAATGAAGCTTTTCCTTCTTATGCTGAACATGTATTATGGGGCCAGGATTTAGAAGTATCTAGATGACAGCCATTAAAATCATTAAGGATTGAAGTACTTGATCTCTAAAGCATTTGTAAATTAAGTGTTAACAGATAGGTATTAAGCACAATATTAACATCCAATTCTGCATAATTGTGAACATAGATGTAAACCTGAGGCACAACAGGGATGCAGGTTAAAGGTGGTTGGTCATGTCAAGTGTCAGGATCAGATGGTATTTATTTACTCATCACTTGAGACTCAACAATGACTCACAGACACTGCAAGAAAAAAAAAAATAACACACCACAGCTCACTTACATTCCACCACCTTCCTAGCTGTTACTATCTCACAGGCTCCCACTTACCCAATATTTCACCATCCAGCTTCTGTCCTACAGTTCAGGTCCAGCTCTGGCTTACATGCTTCCTGCAGTAGTTCAAGAAGATTTGAATACAAGACTGTAGGTAAATTTAGAGGCACAGTGAAGAGTCAAGACTCTCCACAATTACTTCTTGTTTCCCATGTCATACAGCAGATTCCCACACTATGCAGGCTTTCCTTCTTAGCTGTTAGGATATTTCTGCTATTGGTTATTTTAAAAAACAGATTAACTTACTTTCTCATACAACAGCTTATGCCATTAACTCCTTACTTCCCAGTATTTGCTACAGCTTAAGTTGGGTTAAAGGTTTCAACTGAAATACAAAAATGTACAGTTTTTGAAACAGGTGTTGATATTGCTGCTAGACCATAGACATGATTTTAAGATATAACATATTCTAAAATTCTTGGCTCCCAATATGTTTCACTGTATAAGGACTTAATTAAAAGGTGTTGAACTACTTAAACATTCAAGATGTAAGCATGAGGTAACAAGGTGTAAACAGAATCTGATTTAAGTCTCATATAACAACCTGTCAGTTGTAGAATAAAATTCTAATTATCCACAGTTTAAAAAAAAAAAATTAATGTGCAAATTCTGCCATGCCAAGGTATTAGTAAACTTCAATCTCACAGTTCAGTTTATTTATAACAGCAGCTTGGACTCCAACACATTGTTCGCAACAGTGGTGGTTCTTCGTAAGACTACTTAGGATAAAATTCTTTTGCAGGTATTTCACAAGTGAGCAATGATTTTCACAGAATTGTAAGATGTTCCATCAGTTGATGTGGTGGCACAGTGACTACTTCCATCCTGTTCAAGATCTGACAAAGTGCGCAGAACAGTCAAGCATGCAGGGGGTTTGTTTCCATAACACAGCACTGGGAACTCCAGAAATGCTTCTGGCCTCCGCCTGATCATTCAGTGGCATGTTCATTGTTTGAGAAGCCCTGTCATAAGGTACTGACTGAAGGGCAAGAGTTAAAAGAGCCATTCATGAAATCTGAGTAAAGAAACATCTTTATAAAATGCTGATCATTTTTATCAAATGTGGTAGGCCACCTCTAGTGGCAGGCATCAATATTATCTTCTGCTGGTGGAGAAGCTAAGAATCATTTGTATGGGAAATTTTCTTCCACAATAAAGTTTTTAAGTTATTGAGTATTAATGAATGCTCCATTTCCATTTGGTTTGCTGTGACTTTAAGGGCAATGCACAAATACAGTTGTTTTTCTAGCTCTTCATGGATATCAGGAGGAGCACCACGAAGCAGATAGTCTTTAAGTAGCTGACAGGCTTTTGCCAGGTTTGGCTGAATTACTTCTGTGGTACATCTCATTTTGCTTTGGTCACATAGAGTTCTACAGTCTGTACCATAAATACAGTCCAAATCTGATTCACACTGACGGTCTTTAATTATTTCCTTCAAATTCATTTCTGGCACAATTTTTCTCATGTCCATCATTTTCAAATCATATTTATCATTATATCCCAAGTTTTTGGCACTTGTATCACACATAAGAAAGTTTCCATAAGGTCCATGGAAAATATCTTCCACAAATTCTAAAAGCCCTATAGCTATTTTTGCCTTTCTTGGCCATGATGGAGTAAACCATTGGTCCATGCTTCTTCTGAAGCCAGAGGGAATGAAAAGTTCTATAATCCATGGAAGGCTGATTCCATAGAGAGAGGTATATTCAACTCTTTCAGTCACATAGAGATCCCCACAAAAACCCATCAACTTGGGAGTGTGTTCTTTATCCTGCAAGATCACCATTAATAGAAATTCCTCTAGCTGCAGAAGTGCCCATGCAGATTTCGCCTCTGGCAAAGAAACGCTACCGTCTTTGTTTCCATCAGCAAAAGATAGGATGAGATTAACCAGTTCTGAAAGATTTCCTTGTTCACCCAATTTTGCCTAAAAGCAACAAATTGAAAAGATTAAGTACAATGTCATTAACTACCACTAATGATGTGTCATTCTACATCCCATTATTCTCCTATGGATAGTATGGTAGGTTATGTTATCTTCTGGTTTTCATTGGTTACAGATGTTTCAGAACTTGCTATCAGATGCCTGCAGAGCTTCCTTTCCTTTTTGTTCTATTTTCAATGGCACCAAGTATATGACCTTCTGAAAGTAATAATGTTCTTTGCATTTGAAAATGCAAATATTAAAATTCAAACATTGTTCTCTGTCAGATCAGCATTTAGAAAGATCATATCAAGTAGTTTGTTGAATATTCTCATATGAAAAGTATGCAAGATTCAAATGTTTAGATCAGGTTTAGTTTACAGCTGATTAAACCTTATAGGTGTAGAGAAATTACAGTATCAACTACATTTTGGCCAACTACAAGAAGTACCAAGACACACTGGGTACAAATCCCATACGATAAGCATACTGAAATACTTATTTTTGTTATTTGATATAACCACCTCCTTTGTATCAACACAGTGGAAGAAGCCATTGCTGGCATCAGAACTGTTGCATTTTCAACTACCACCAAGGCACACCGAAAGACAGATAAACTTTTCCTGAATTCTCTTTACTACTCTGAAATACCTGCTGCTCACCCATTCTTAGAGATGAAGCTACTGTAATGCATGACAAATGTCAGCAGCTTTACATAACTATGTTATATGTGTGCAGGTGTGCACATATGCTCACTCAGCTAGAACAGCACTATATTTCCATCACTGGAGACATCAGAGCTATGACAATGGCAAAAGAATTTTAAGGAAGAAAACCCAAAATCAGTATTGACACAGCATCAAAGTGATTATATTATGAAAATTCTGGGGTAGCACTAAGGCAAAGTAGTATCACATTACTGTAACAGAAGAAACTGGGAGAAGTATGGCTGGTCCTTCTGGTGAGAGACATTCCTGCTGCTCAGATAATAGAGTAGCTCTTCCAAGTATGAATATTTTTCAACTTGTGCTTCAGTCTTTGTACTTGGCTACAATAACCCCAATAGGAGCATACATGTATTTTTACCATATTTTCTATACAGATAGAAGTGAAAGCTGTAAACATGCAAGACGCATACCAGCTTCCATCTGTTAAAAAGGAAAAAAACTGATAATTAGTTATTTCAAACTTTGAGATAAGCACCTCCCAGAAAAACTATTCTTGTGTTGACTGTTTTTCTAACATGCACTTGAACAAGGCTCATTCAATTAGGCCATTCTCTCCAACTGCAGGAAAATAAGCCTTTCTGTCAAAATAGAATAATTAAGTACATACTTACTTTAAAAAGACCATATACCATTTCTTTGAATTTCTCAACAGTGGTTCCTCTTGTTGGTTTATCAAATAGGACAATTTCCTTCCTTGGTTCTGGGTCAGTACCCAAATCAAGTTGAGCAGCTTCTTCCATCTGGCATTTTATGACACCTTGCAGATTTCCCCAGATTCCTGAATAAATCTATGCAGGAAAAGTGGGAAAAAAAAGTAAAAAAACACTGTAGAAGTCCATCATCTAAAGACCACCTGTACTCCAATCAGTGCTTCAAGTAGCAACACAGATTGGAAAACTGAGTCCTGCATACAGACAATTCATGCAGCACATACAAACAATGGCAACTTCAAACACAACATGCTACTGCAGGTAGTGGTCTCTGTAGGAGATGCTACACTGTCAAAATATAAAGACAGCTTGATAAACGGTAAATTGGCATTACCGCCAGCTTTGTGTACGTTAAAGAGGCTGCTGCTTCTATTTGGGAAGCAGGATAGCAGAGTAGTAGTATGCTGTACAAAAGTATAGTTATTCCATCAAAGCTTGGAAAGGTCCAGTACTTTATACATATACACATATATATGTTCCTAAAATTACAAAATAATAATAGACCCCTCTACATCCAGGAATAATATATATTACTATGTTCAGGTATATTATATACAGATGCATATTGTGTATGATCTATTAGAAATATGTTATACCTATATATTCTATAGATACAGGTTGATTATATACATATATATTAACATGCTCTGCATGTCACAGCACACAAGGTTTGAAATAATCTGTATTGAACAGATACAGCTGGCTGACAGTAAGGTCTACTTCATGTTCTAGTCAATGACATTTCAGTGGGAAATAACAAAACTAGATTGGATAAGTAAAGCCTTACCTGGTTATTGGGCTTTGTTGACAAACATTTTCCAAAATACAATGTTTCTTTAGCACAAAGACTGCTACATGCTGACCCATCAATAACTCCAGTCTTGTATTTATCACACTGAAACAAACAGGGAGAAAAATATTTAACCAAATTGCCCAAGAAAGGAAGCAACAACTCTATTTCTCCCAATACTTGACTCTTAAAAGAAAAATCTAAGAAAATAGTTTTATTAACCCCGTAACAAAACAACGTTAAGAAACATAACTGGTTTTATCTGTAATTGAAGATGTAATTTTACTTCAACATGATGGAATATCAGAATTTGATTCATTTACATGTGGCACTAACTGAATTGGCTGTGGAATGCATCAGGACAAACACTTAAGAAAGCTATGCTAAATATACTTACTATTATTTTCCTACAGTCATGTCCTCTGCATAGTTCTGTGTAGGTAGAGTACTGAACATACATAACCCAGCTGCCAATAAATACTACTAACCAAGAGATGAAGAGATACTTCATCCGCATATATGAGAAACGTACCTAGAGGACACAAAGAGAAAATACTGGTTTTAACTCATTCAGCAGTAGTCAGAATGATAGAAACAAGCCTAATTTACTGTTTTATCTTTAAGAATTTGACTTTCACGGTCATAAAACAAGCAGACTAGATTACATTAAACATTCACTTCCTTCAGTGCGCAAAACTGACAGGGGAGGTGAGTTTGACTTATGTAGGTAGAAGGAAAATTACGATATGAATGACCAGAAGAAAAGGTGACAGACCCTCATAGGGCAAGCTAGGCTTCAAGAATCAATCTGATCAAAATCAAACTGCCAGAGCTCAACTATTTGCATTTTTCTCTAAGACCATTTATTTATGTTCCACTCCTGGTAAACCAAATGCAAGAGACCAGGAATCCGGTCAAAAAAAATAGCATGTGTTAATGTATAAACATGCAAGATATACAACCAGCAGGGTGGGTATCAGCGGCAGGTTCCATGTGCTAAAATCTCCCACTCCTTCCTTGAAATTACACCATTTAATTATGCAAGTAAAATTCCTCTGCACTAGCCTCACCTTCAGTGGTCTTTCCCATAACCATATGACTTTCCTGTTGTTTCTGTGGCCTCATGTTTATATTTTTCACTAGGAACAGAGGAAAGCAGTATTTATAAATTAAAAATGGAGGAAGAGGTTAAGTGCCTTACAAGGGAAGAGGCACATTTTTGTTTTTTCCTTCTGCTGAGCCTGGTGTGCTAACAGTTTGATTTTCATAGTCACATCTGGATTAGAAGAGAATTCGAAAGTCATGATCAGTTTCAGCAACAGGATAGAAGGAAAGTGCGTGAGAGCAGCTATACTGAGTCAGTCCGAGATCCTTTCCTGTTAGTATCCTGATCTGCAGCAATAGCTATAAATAGATGCCACTAAAGATTGAAAACATAAAATATATATCCCACATGTGCTCCCATTTTCCTCTAGAAGAACTTGCTAAACCAGATGTGACTTTCTGTATTTAGTTAATCACAAACCATTTCTCTTTCAGGAACTTACCCAGACTCCCTTAAGATCCACATAAGCTTTTAGCATGCACAACCCCCCTTTAGCAATTAATTCTACAGGACTACTGCTCACTATACCGAGGTCAGGGACTGGACATGATTTTGCTTAAATCTGGCTCATACTAGCTTTGTTTGAGATCCCCTAGATTATGTATGGGAAGAGAGGAGTTATCAATGTCTATCCATTCTCTCCACCTCTGTCATGATTTTGTAAGCCTCCATCACATGCCTCCCTGCCATGCCACCTCTCTTCCAGACAGACGGGTCCTAACTTAGCTGTTCCTCATAGAGAAACCATTCCATATGTTTGAAAAAAGTTCCAAGCAAAGTAGTAATGATGAGCAGTTTTGCCATCACATACATACACATCAAGTTAACCCATCTCACACATACTAATTTCAGATGGCTCCATCTGCATGGGAGAAAAAGCACTGAAATAATTCCAAATCACTACAATTTGACAGCAATCATATTAAATCTCAGTAAATTGAATACATGGCTTCAACTTGATCTGCTCATACAGCCACAGGAACTTGACTGGTAAGTAAATAGTTATAGTCAAAAACTCATTAGTGTCATATTCTAAATTTTTCTGCTTTTGAAGATCAGAACTGAGACAGAACCACCACACCTTTGGACTTGCTTAGACTGCAATTTCACTATACAAATTGTTCAGTACAGTACAAAGTGCTTTGCCCCTGCTTCTTTGCATCTCAAAACTGAAGCCCATTTTTGTTGTAATTGCACCCAAAAAACTCTTTGCAAAAGTATACCACTGATGGAATCGAGGTGTTGACCTGATTCACAGTACAAGCCTGAAAACAGTTTTGTCAGCACAGCAATTTGATTCAGATCACATTTTCTCTAAAATAAAACACTTCCTTAACCGCTAGTGATAGAAAACTCATCATATGCATCATTATTTCATTGCCAGAAGTCTGACAGACACACCTAGGAGAAGCAAACTTTCTGTAACCAGGAGCTTGAGATGGCTCATTACCTTGGTTCTTCCAAATTAGGGCTAAGGTCAGCAAGAGGCCAGTGTTAAAAAGGTAAACATAGATCAGATACAAATTTATTTAAGCAGAGGATTTCTGTTTCCAGAACAGCTAGCTTCTCAACTGATTAGAAATTTCAAACTGTTTTTCAATTTTTATGAAACTAAGTAGATGTTTTACTGCAAACAATCAAGAGTTAAGCTGAGAAAAATGAAATGGAAAACCTGATACTGCTTCAGAGTGATCTCAGCCATGAGCTGAAAGCTTAGCAAGCTTATAGAGGGAGACCTAAGAGGGGAGTGGGTTCCAGAAGACAGCAACAGGATGAACAATATTATCTAGCTTTAAAATGGAGGTAAAACACAGACCTAGAGCAGATGTAAATAAGTCAACTTTAACCAGAAAGACTACAATAATTTCTGAGTACTTTTAAAAATATGACAAATGACCAGCCTGCATTACATCCTTTCCTCTTGAAAGAAAGGTCAAGGCAAGTTCCAAAACACCCAAAGGTGATACCAATCCATGCAGGTGCTGTCCCGCTGCATGACTCAGCTGTGCATCCCTATTTCTTCACACACACTCACTTGACTTAATCTTAAAATTACTTAGTTAAAAAGAGATAGTTATAACTAACTGCTTTTATTCTGGTGATCAGTCTTGACCAGATAGTTCCTTCAACCAGTTCTTTTATGATACTTCATTGAGAGTGTTCTAAGACAGGAATGATTTCTGCTATTTTCCTCAGAACCACAAAAATTTTAGTTGGAGTAACATGTAATTTCCTCTAAAGCATGGTTACTCACAACATGGACACGAACTGGATGGAGTACAAAAGGAGACTAACAATAGTGCCATGTGGCTTATAGCATGCTTATAAACAGCTTAGAAAATGTATGAGGAAGCTGAGGGTAGGTAAAACAGAATGGCCAAAAAAAACCCAAAACAAACAGCAAGGGGCTGGGTGGCATCAAAACAAGCAATACCATACATAAGCCTTTCCCATTCAAAGAACACTAATGAAACGACAGATCAGCAAGATTTTTAGTGCAATTTTCTAGCTTTTTTTATTTAAATAAAAAAAGACAAAATAGCACACCTACATGCTTACAACATGAAGAATCACAAATTTATTTTAAATCACACTACTTGAACAGACTGACGAAAAGCAGTAAGTCATCCTACATGTGAACCAGCAATAAGTGAGAACTGACCACCAATAGGTTCAGAAATACTTCCCCCACCACCCACACCCCTACAGAAGAGAACTGAAATCTTCCTTCAAGCTCAGGTGGACTCAGCCTCATCTGTTCTTTCTTCCAGATCATTTTCTATATTTAGTCATCTACAATTTTCACTTACTAGTTTTTTTTCTTTCCAGTACTCATCTCAAACTGTTTGCTTAGCCAGTCTTAATGTCCTCCTCTTGAGCTACTCATTATCTACTATGCTTTTTCTTCCAGTCATTTCCAGCCTATTTCTATCTGATTCTGCAACACTGGCTTCAGTTCCTGACTTCCTTCACTGTCTGTCTTTCATTCTCAAGTAAGTTTCCAGCACTACTCAGTGCCTCATCCACTTCAGTTTCTCCAGAACAATTTTCCTACGTAAGGATCCTTGCCCTGAACTACTGGCTGTGTATAAAATGTGCTTATCATCCACAAGCAGCCTTCTTTCACAGCTCTGGGAAGCCAGCAGAGGCGATACGGAAATGCACTAGGATAGTGTCTCTCTCCCTGTTCTCACTTCCAGAACCAAAGGAAAGCTGTAAGCAGGGCAGATGGATTCTGTGCATAGTTTAATTCTTACACCTACACTACACAAAATAAACCAAAACAAAACCAGAGAGATCTGCTCTTCCCCAGCAGATCTCTCCCAGGGGCACCAGGTTACCCGCCCTGAGGCAGCCATCCAGCAGAGGTCTCTTGAAACACAGTTTTGAACTGAGAGGTGAACCAAACCAGTAGATCAAAAGCACCAAAGGTACAGGATTGAGGGATCACCTGATCTGGATCAGTCATGAGCATACAACCAGATTTTTCTCAGTCCATCTAGAGAATGCAATGTGTTGGGGTTTTTTTGCTCCCTTCAAACTTTCTGCTGGTTGAAGGATAGATGATACATGATAGTTTTATCACTTCCTAGTAAGTACCACTACAGTTCAGTCATGCAGGCTCAATGTCTTCTGTAATAATTTACTTCTATTTATTTGTTCTTATACCACCTAAAAACTTACGGTTGCATAACCTAGAGGTTTTGTTTGTTTGGGTTTTTTTGTTTTGGTTTGTTTGTTTGGTTGTTTTTTTATTTATTTTATTTTATTTTTATTTTTTTTGCTGGCTTCAACATAGTAATAACACCAATGAGTGCTCTGTAGTACAGTTCCTGAAATTATCTAACTAGGTGAGTCATTCATCTATTTTTACTTCGGCCTAACATTTCTGTAACTAGATACAGCATCAAACTGAAAGAAGGACCTCCTCTGCCTTTGCAAGCACAATGAGATACAGCAGCATCTGAAGAGCAGTACAAAAGGTATTTCTAATTAAAACATGGTATTTTGATAAAATCAGATCATATTCAGTTATTGATAACTATGCAACGAAGGCTTGTTTGTTAGGTTTTTGTACTCATCTTGTTGTCAGATTGACTTCTAATCAATTGAGCAAGCAGCTGTCCATTATTCCCACTTCTACTCCCTTGCCCAAATCATCTGTTCAAGGTTACCACCACATAGCAGAGTCTCTAGAAGCACAATTAGATGTCATACTCAGACTCATCATCATGAAAAACACTTTCACTGGAAGTTTCCAGTAGTCAAATAATGAGCTGGAGTCAGTAAGGTATGGGTGCATGCTCACTCTGCCACTTTAGCTCTATGTATAGTAAGCTAACAGAGCACGGGGTCAGAGGAGCATCTTGGATTACCCCAGCAAAACTCCACAGAGCTCAGCTGTTAGCCCCCTTACAGACTAAGCA